GAATGGCACTCTTACGGAGTTTTATGTGTTGAACGTCTTACACTCTGTACTGCGCTCGGAACCCTCAGTTACATTCAAAGTAAATCTTAAGCCAATGTTCATTATCGACCATCTAGCTGTTCTGATTAAGTTGGCGATTTCGGGACGGTTCAAAACATACTAGAAGCACTACTGCTTCAGAACCACCGTGTGGGTGTGTAACTGGATGCTTGTTAGTTTTGTTGATTATGCCTTTAGACGACCATCTCTTTAAGGTCAAGCAAGTAGGGGAACATATACTTTTTGAATTGGGGCTCTCTACAATTTTGCACCAGTGTGAAGAACCTAACCGAACTTGGTTAAACTCTCTAAGATATGTCCGATTCCTAATACACGTATTTCATCGGCATGCTACGGAGTTTCTTTGTAGAAATATTAGTGCACTTTTTTCTTAAAAAGGAAAGATAGCAAAAATGATCCGTTATATCATCATCTTGATAAAGCATTTACCATGCATATGAATCGGTACGTATACTAGTAAAAGCATACAGGAAATTCTGCATCTACGGCGATTGGTCAGAGTCCTCTTACGGGTATGCTTTCGAGAAAAACAGTTTTCAAGCCTATTCGCTACGAAACAAAAGTCTCAGATGTTTAGTTGATCGTATTCATTGTGTACTTGCTTCGAGTGACAGTACAACTTAAAATTTCATAACCAATATGAGGTAAAGCGCCCTTGTGATCACTCAAAGACCATTTTATCATCTACACAGAACAGCTTTGTCCGGCAAACCGTCGAACCGATATTCCATGTTGCTTCATGTAAGAAGTCGTCGATCTGGCAATGGGTAGTGAACACAGAGCAAATTTATCGATGATCTACGAATCATGTCTTGCTTCCCATTAAACTTTAACCAAACTTGGTGTCTGATGTTATAGTGTGCATGACGTTGCCAAGTTTCTTCCACCGGTAATTCTTCATCCGTGAATAAGAATCTCTACTCAGGATACCTACATTCTGTGTGGTCGGTAGGAGAGGCATAGTTAGTCTGAACACATCGCAGCGCCGCATGTAGACACACTGCACACAACGGCTAGTTCCATATTCGTTTGCAGTGGTCAAGCAGACATTGCAGAACCACGGCTTGAACCCCAAACCTTTGGGATGCCAGTTAAGGCCTCTACTCTTAGGTCACTGAGCTGAGGCGGGCAAGGCTCGTTACATCGCTTAATGACTGTTTGAAAGGGTCATCGTAAGGCATATGTAATGTGGACGAAATGCGACCCACGCTCTTAGTCAGCACCTCAGTTCACTCAGAGCTGGAGGACGGTCAATACGATTAATGCAGCGTTTCGCTGAAAATCGTTTCCAGACGTCCGACCTCAACCACCTACTGGTTCGCTGTTAGTATGTATCACAATTCGATGTGCCTACGACTTCGCCAAACTTACCGCTATCAGTTCACCGGGGAGCGAGACAGAAGGCTAGCTTATCTTGTGCGGAAGTTCTACATTCATAGCAATTCCAACAATTGGTATCTAATTCCTCTGTTTTATTTGGTTAATGATTTCAACTGCCCGGATGATCAAGGTTTTATTTTTGTATCCATACTGACTTAAACGTGACTTCTTTTTACCCTTGCAACAACACCAATGTTGATAGCGTAAATGCTGAACTTATATTCACTCTTCATCAGTGGTTCGGGTGAAAATGAAGCAAATAAATGACATCCAGTGCAACTAGCTGCGCAGACTGATCTACAGATATGTACTGTATTTGTCCTTCATGAATTATCAGCTTGATATTTCTAAGTCACATGCTCTAGGGACAATTATCACTTACTGAGATTACTTATAGGGACAACATACCTCGTCGGTCATCGCATTTAGTTTGATACTGCCTTGGAATCGTTTGGCTACACGGCGTTTCAAGTACGCTGGTACATTGTTTTCCGAACTATGCCTCCTTGAGACTGTGACGGAGACCGTATCTAAGAGCAAGTATAAAGCTTTCTGTACAACCCTATCGAATTATGAAAAACCAAAAAACATTAAATTGCGAATCGTCAGCGATAGTGTTTTGTTGGTTAATCGTTTATCCTTGTTCGGTTAGGAATTCGTATTGGTATCATTATTTCCGGGTATACGATGTCTTCTTTTGGCATTGTATGTGCACCGTTTCACAAAAGCACAGGTTTCCGAAATAATCGTCGATACGTGATTTAAAACATTTCACAGAATCGGCCTCTATTAATCCTTCTGGTAGTGTATTCCACAAGTTTACGATTCTTCGTTCTATACAAAGCTGATGTGATACCTTGTTCATGCAGGGGACTGAGTTTGTGACGGTGTCCTCGGGTATTACAGAGTTCCCGCAGGTGAAATATCGGCCGCAGTATGGGGAAGGGATTCAAGTGTAGTACTTGATTGGTCATAATAGGGGCAATTCTTACTCGGCGGTAGGATAGTGTGTAGAGCCCGAGACTTTCCCTTTTTCATACGGAAGGTTTCATAGACTCCGTATCATTCTAGTTGCCCTGGGCTGTATTTTCTTCAGCTTTTCAGTTTCCCACTGCATTATCGGATGTCAAGCTGGGGCGCCATATTCAAGGATTGGTCTAATGAGCGAGGTGAATAGGCGAGGGACGGTTTCTTCGGACCATGTGGAGAAACTGCGTCGCAATGCCCAAAGCATACGAAGTCCCGCACGGTGCAATTTCTCTGTATTTTCTGGTGATCTCATATCACGTCGATAGAGCACTCCTAAGTCTCTGAGAGATGTGTGACAGATGCGAAAGCCCGATGGTCTCACGCAAGTGAGTAAACACACTACCCATGCGTTTTGTGCTGAGTTTAAGCGAGGAGCGCCAATTGGAAGGAAAAACGAATGTGTGCAAAAATTCGCGTGTCTACCAATGGGGCCCTTAGCGTACTGCACAAATACCGCATTGCTGTTTCCTTCGCTGTTTTTATCCTGCGCTCGTATTCCATCGTGCTTCGTACAGACATTCTTCGCTACTTCTCATCGCACATATACGTGCGTGCACTCTTTCGAGCCTGCTCAATAAGTGCTTCGCAATGGATTCCATCTCGTGGATCGCAACTGCTCAGGTTGCCTTCCTCCACAACGGAGTTTACGTACGTTTTCCACAGAAACACACGCGCAATTTCCTAGAAAGTTGACAACAACTTATCCCTAATCAAATTCATGGTATACTCACAATTTCTGCAAAGCAGAGTAGCTCATTGTCTTGGTGCACATTATGCCATATTTGTCAACCATCTGTTAGTATGCATCGCCTTATTAGGAATATGTTTTGAAGTCCTCGTTGTGTGAATGGATTGGACTCTGAATACCATTCAGAATCGTGCTTCAATGGAATTGTATTTCCATCAGTTCGGCTGCTGCAATCGTGCCTAAAACGGCATAAGCCTTTAATTATGCGCCGCAGAGCCACAGGTAACCATGGTCACGACAACTGATAACTAGTGTTGTCCTCGACTCGATGGCGTAGTCTCAAGTTCTTCGGCTGTTAGCCTCCACTTCCCGGTTTATAATCGAACTTCTGCTATTTCTGCTAGTGTATGCCAATAGTTACCAAGGAGGCTGTTGAGTGTGGTGTTGTGTGCAGGGACCAACTAACTTTAGAATGCCTACACATTTGTTTCCACATGATCTGTTACCTCTCTAATCCACGACCACTTTATGTAAAACACATAGGTTATCTGAGTGAAATAACGCTAATTCAATGAGTCTCGAGAAATTTCCATTCTCATTCAAAGCAAGCGTTGATGTGCGCTGACGCAATCCTGGCCAGGTTGCTGCTGTTTATCGGCAACTTATTCCTAGACAAAGGCGGCAAAGAACCTGAGCGGATACAATCCGCAAAAACTTCACACGAGCGCCTTTAACAGCTAACTAACAGCGCATCGGCAACAATCGGTCTAATACTCTCCCAACGGTAATGGGGAGACTTCTTCTCAGAAAGTAAACCAGCGGGATCCATTCAGCCATTTCGTCAAACTAGAGAGCTTTAGACAGATTGTTGTCGATGCGCTGCAGGTTGACTGTTGAAGGCGCTCGTGTGAAGTTTTTAAGGATTGCATTCGCTCGGGTTCATTTCCGCCGCGATTTGCCAATACCTTGCATAGGAACAAGTTGTCGACACTTAACAGCAATCTGGACAGCATCGCGTCGGCGTACATCGACTCCCGCCTTGAATCAGAACGGAAATTTCTGGAGACTCATAGATGATTCGCATGCACGCTCAATGAGTTTTCATTGGTTTGTCGACTAAAAGTTGAAGCGTTTTCCTCTGAAGATCTCCGTCGCAAGAGAGCAAAAACAATGCGCGGTTTTCAGATTTCTCTTGCTAAAGCCAGCAGTGCTTCCTTTCCTACTGCTTGCTTGAAGCACGTATGCTATTTCGACCCGCTTTTAATCCTAGTTTTGCCCTCAATTTACACACCACTGTTCACAGCAGCACTTTCATTCCTAATTGCACTGAGTTAGAGTAAAATATGAAAATGTATGCCCCAAACCAACACTTTCAAAAGGGGACTGAAATGCCGCAAATGATGGGTAATAGCATATTCAAACCACAGCGAGATAGGCATCAGGAGTAAGTCTGCACAGCGTACGAACGTTTCGTTCCTAAGCGACCGACAACCGTCGCAATTGAGCTAGGGATACTGCCAGAACACTCAAGTCTATGCAGAATCGAACCGTTTACTTTCCGATTTCAAAGTGGTTCCATTGTGCTCTCATCCACCTGCCGATAATTGCCTATTTAGTTAGCGGGATTATAAGCGAACATGTTAAAGCGTTTGGGACATGAATTTGTGTTCAATATGGTTTGGGCCCTCAAGAAGTAAAGGATATTTTCCATAACAAGAGTATCTGTACTTGATTTTTTTCTACTTATGACTCAAAGTAGTTATTTTCGGTTTAATTCATTGAGAACTGTGTACAAATAACAAACTCCGTCAAAATGTCACAAATTTTATCCATTTTTCTACAGTTGCATCTTGGTTTCTGTCTCCGGTACTCAGTGGGCTGCTCTCGGTTGGCATCTTTGCAATCATCCAAGCCCTGGTATTGGCGAAGGTCAGTTATTTTTTATAGCCATGTGTACATATCTATGTGTACGTATATTTGGAATCTCGCATACATGACGCTACTTCACTGCAGTTGGGCTACAACGAGTTGTACTGTTTAAGTGAACTTCTTGGATAAAATGTAGGCAAGTTACTTTAATTTGCTCAGTTCCTCTATTCTACTTCATATTCTGTGTCACTTTGCGTGCTTACTTTCCTTAAAGTTTTGTGTTGGTTCTTTAATAACTCGGGTGTGGATGCGCTTGATGTGAGTGTTGCTAAGGTTCGTACAGGTCTAATACCAGCTCGATTCCTGGTTCCAAGAGACTACTAATCTTTGCTGGTGAGGACGGGGTGCATGGTCCTTGTGACCGTGCTAGTCTCTGAGTGGTATCACCTACTGTGGAGCGGACTACTGCCCAACCACTACCTTGCTAACCTCTGGTACGCATGATTCCCAAATTAGATAAACAGGAATGCTGCTGGTGTGCATGTTGAAGGACTGTGGTCTGGTTTTGTTGAAGGAACGTGCCTCCTATCCACATGCCTCGAGGTTTCATTCCTTTAGGCTCGCACTAGAAGTGGGGTGTGTGTGGATGGGACTGTGCGTTGTGCAGCGCAAGCCACCCGCGGTCCCTGAGTAGGCGCAGGCGTCCTGTGGCTGGCCACAGTGACAGGCAAATCCGGAACCGGATGCCGCCAACCATATATATATATATATATATATATATATATATATATATATATATATATATATATATATATATATATAAAGGATTTACAAAATTAGCTCGTTCTAATAATCTGATTCCCGGATAAAGAACACTACAGAAAATTACACTTTCCGCGCTGTAGAAGGATGCTCTAATTAATGACTCTCCTCTTCCTAGGAAGTCCAGTCTATTAATACACACCAAACTTTTGTTATTTTTTTCACTTATGGTACCACTGTTCCTCCTTCATTCCATTGGGTTTATTGCGTTCACTAGCGTACATCAATTACAACAGTAACTTCCTCTACCGAGCTGTATCATTTGCATACACATCAGCAATTCGCTACGGACACACTGAAGTGGGCATCAGGTACGCTCTTATAACACGCCCTGGCATTACATTTTACTCTTCCGAAAGATCACCCACTGATTGAACCATTTCATGGATGAAATGTAAACTTAACATGAGTAAGTTAGCAATCACTGAATGTGTCTGAAGTGACATGGAAGACAAACACTGTCCGTGTGTTAGTGATGCCTTGCCAAAGGGTGAATAGAGGCCATTATTTTGACCTTTTGAGGTTCTGGGTTTTCCAGTGTTGTTCTTGAAAAGGGCACCTACATTATGTCATTTCAATCTATTAGGCTTTGAGTACGTATCAATTAATAATGCTGTACTACTCAAACAGCTATCCGGCACATTCCAAGATACTCCCGCTCACTTTACCACATCAAAATCTTTCGTGCTGTAATTCCCATTATCAACATTACCCTTGCCTCTGAATGAAAGTGAGATGAAATTCATTTTTCCTTCTGAATATCTACCTGACCTACTAAAGAAACGATTAACTAAAACGGCGATGCTTCACTCATTCCATATGTGGAAATGAAAACGAACAAATAACGAGACTTAGGTGTTGAGATATGATACTGACAGGCAGATAGATATTTATAAGCTAGCTAACCTACACGCCCAGTAAACAGAAGGAGTTGCTACGTGCTTCCAATTACTTGGTCTCACATCAATTTTACGCATCACAATCTGACAACTTTCAAAGCTGCAGAAATACATTGCTACTGGGCTGGCTTGCCGAACTACCTCCTCGTGGTGCCAGCTGGGTGGTTCGGGTGTACCCCGTTCCAGCAAAGTGTTCGGCGACAATGTTCCACCTCGGTGAGACATTGTATTCCAGCAGGTGTGCTGACTTCATTGGGAGTATTGGGCCTCTGTTTGATAATCTACCAAACAAAGACGCATGAACTGAACATTCAGTCAACGCCTCCCAATGGGCGCGATTCCCTAAATTCGCCCCACTGCCTTGCGGGTAGGTTATTTAGCCAAAGGCTCGGGGTGGAGTCCCCTAAGTCAACTCCCTACTTCGGCTTGGGCAACCGGGTAGTATCACGCCCTCTCGCAAAACCATGGACTGTATTACAACTTGCTCATCAGCTGCTGTTTCTGCTAGTCACTTTCACGCGACTTCATCACACGCCAATTGTTTGTTTGTTAACAATCCTCACTTTCCTTTACTCGATTCATGTGCTCAACAATCTAGCTGCGATTCCGGTTGCGCCGCAAACCAAGAGGTTCAACCCATGGCTCTCCTTCGTCCCCGATCCTCGTTCCGTCTGGCGTGCTTCAACGTTCGGACACTCATGCAGATTGGACAGCAAGCCGGTCTAGCGCGCACTCTAGATTCCCTGGACATTGATGTCTGCTGCCTCTCAGAAACCCGATTGCAAGATCCCAGCACTGTGCTTACACTGACATCCCGCACTGACCACGAAGCCAGATATCACCTGCGTCTTTCTGGAGATCCAGAAGCAGCCTCAGCGGGTCTGGCTGGTGTAGGTATGGCACTAAGTGACAAGGCCGAGGCGGCACTACTGGACTGGTTCCCTATTAACAGCCGACTATGTGCAGTTCGGCTTCGGCGTTCGTGTAGAATCAACTGGCACCGCGAAGAGAGACACAACTTGTTTGTGATCTATGTGTACGCTCCAACTGACTGCAGTGGCCACTCGGTAAAGGACGCATTCTATCGGGATCTACAACAGCTCTTGACTAATGCTAAAAAGTCGGATGTCGTTATCCTTGCTGGGGACTTTAATGCACGGGTTGGCCGCCTGTTACCATACGAACGCCACCTTGGTGGTCATCACTCGCTCGATGAGAACCGCTCTGATAACGGAGAGAGACTTCTCACATTGTGCGAAGACAACCTTCTGTTTCTTTCGAGCACTAACTTCAGGCGTACGAAGAAGCGTTCTGCAACGTGGCGTCCCCCTTCTTCAACACAACCGTGGTCTCAAATTGATCACATTGCAATTAGCTTCAGATGACATGGCAGCGTACTGGACTGCAGGTCCTTTTGGTCCACCTTCGTTGACTCAGATCATGCTCTGATCTGCGCGAAAAGTTGTATGTGTTTTGGAGGATCCCGAAACACGAAGCACCGCAAGATTGATGTAAATAGATTAACTGATTCCTCTGTCCAGACGAGCTATCAGCCTTCACTGGCATATGCACTTAGTTGCAATCCACCGCAAGGAGTGGAACAACACTGGACTGGTATACAGAAGGCAATGACCATTTCCGGACAGTCATGCTGCGGCCTAACTCGACGCCCATTGAAGGCTTGGATCTCTGCTCGTTCTCTGGAGCTGTTCGAACGCCGCAAAGATATCCCCGCGGAATCAGATTGCAACGAGCGGCGCCGTTCTGCCAACCGGCTGCTCAAGCAAAGCCTACGCAAGGATTGCGAGACATGGTGGTCTGAACGTGTTTTAGAGATGGAGACCGCTGCCCTCTCTGGCAGCACTCACAGGCTTTTCCAACTCATTCGGTCCACTGGCCTCAGGAAACCTGGTGTCAGTGAGGTCATTTGTGAGGTGGATGAGTCTCCGATCAGCAACCAACAGAGGCGTATGGACCGTTGGGCTGAGTACTTTCACTCGCAGTTCAACTGGCCTCCATCGTCCATCAGTACATGCAGTACACCTGGTTGTCCACCCTGGCTCGTCCCTCTGAATCCACCCAGCGAAGCGGAAGTCGGCCTTGAGATTCGACGCTTGAAGCGCTTCACGGCTGCCGGCTTAGACGGACTTCCTCCGGAGCTATTCAAGTACGGCGGTGTGGCGATCATTAACCAGCTGACCGCGCTGTTTGCCAAAATGTGGCATGAAGAGAAAGTGCCTTCCTCTTGGGGCGAATCAGTCATTATCCCGATTTTCAAGAAAGGCGCTTGCACTTCATGTGCAAATCATCGCGGGATTAGTCTTATTTCGGTTGCCTCTAAGCTATTGGCATCCATTCTACTTCGTAGACTATCCCCAGTACGTGAATCGTACTACCGTGAAGAACAAGCTGGTTTCCGTCCTGGCCGCGGCTGCGTGGATCAAATCTTCACGCTCCGCCAGCTCCTCGAACATCGCCATATTTATCACAGGCCCACTATCGTTGCATTCCTAGACATACGTGCCGCTTTTGACTCCGTTGATCGACCTGCTTTATGGCGTTGCTTACTAAAGAACGGGGTGCCAGAGAAATATACCGCCATCTTACGAGCACTTTACCTTCATACATGCGGCAGAGTGAGGGTCTATGGCAAGCTTTCCTCGCAATTCACTGTCAATAGCGGTGTGCGACAGGGCTGCCCTATGTCCCCATTCCTCTTCAACTTCGCAATCGAAGACGTTCTGTCGAATGCTCTAGAAGGTTTCCATCATTTTGGCCTAGAGCTTCTACCGGGTGAGCGCGCGACCGACTTAGATTATGCTGATGATATCGCCTTACTTGGTGACGATCCTCAGAGTATGCAACTCATTCTGGATCGATTGACTGCTTATGATAAGTATGTAATGTTTTCACCTCTATACAGCTTCTACAACACTGCGAGCAAATACAGTTTGCAGTACCTGTATTGTGTTGGCATTCATAAAACAGAGTGCTTCAGGGTTTTTCACTCATCTCTAGTATCAGTACCTTTTACATAACTCAAAGAAGATTGCGATACCAAGTAAGATGGCAGCTGGCCACAGTACACAACTTAGTTTTGCATTTGTCTGTGCAAATACGCTGCAGTAAAAATTTACAGCCTGGATGACGACAGTGAACTCAGTGACGTATGTCCTTTAAGACAACAAGACGAGTTTGCTTCACCTGAATCACTAAAATGGTTACAATTTTGTGGTTGGCCGGGCGTAGTATACTTAATGCTCCAACACCTTGTTAGATTTGAACTGCTGAGTTCCGTCAAACTTCAAACTTTCTCAGACTATTCATGCTGTCATCGAG